CATGTGAGCCATAATGACACCAGCTGACCGCATAGTGACGTAGTGCACCTATGACACTTGCTTGGAGCTTGCTCACTTGCCGTAGCTCTTTAAAGTACCATACTACCGCTTTGCGCTCAGGAGTAGCTCTCAATCCTACAGCAGTATTTAACACCAATCTCTAAGCATACAACGATACCTAAAGGTAATAGTCTGTATACTATAGACTGTTAGCGGTTTCTAGATACATTTGTGGAGTAACGTACGCTAGAAGGTGGATGCTAAAACACCATACTAGTATAACGCGTGACGGTTTTGCCGGCTAGGCAACCACGAGCTATGCTCGAGCTCTATTTAGCGAATAGGGAGAACGTCTATTACTCTGATTTGCATAACACCTTTAATGTTCTTCGGCCACGCTATTCCTGCCCTTCCTAACCCTACCATATTCCCTAATATTACCATATTCCATCATCCCCAGCACTCTCAGAATGAACCGTCCTGAGGATCAGGACGGCTCTAAGGTATGTCTGCTCTCACTGCCTTATGCGTAGATGCTCACGCTACGGAAGCCTCTTACCGAGCAAGATGTTCGTTTGCTTCGCCGATACGGAAAGCTCCCAGCAAGGGAGGATCTGCTTGATCACCAACTTGAGGTATTTTCGCGCTATATTTGCCAGTACGTTGTGTGTTAGCTGACTCGAATCCATTGCAGAGACGCAAATACTTCGATTCGGGCGATTTTTTTCTTTCGCATGCGCAAAAAGGATCTGACATTGGTCGGATACAAACCGGCACAGAGCACCCTCTTCGCAAGGACATATACCATCCTTCATCTCCTGTTCCCGCTACCAGCAATATTAAGGATGATCCTGGTGAGCAAGAGAAAGATATAAATGAGGGACACAAAGTCAAAGAAGCTAGCCACCTCCACCAACAGATGACTACCGAAAAAAGCAAAAATACACAATAGGATCAAGAGTGCGGTTTGGAATCTAGCTAGATCTAGGAAAGAATTTGCAGAAACACGGCACACGATGACGTATCACTTATGCTGGGATAACAGGAAACTAGGTTTATACGTTTCCCTAATCAGAGACTATATCAATGTATTATTTAATTCTATAACTCAGTGCCCCATGTGGTGACAAAATTTGTTAAACCTGGTTGAGTGGAGTACCATCGTCCCTATCGAAGTCTCTTCCCTGAAGCTTGAGTAATTTACTTCGCCCCTGTTGTGAGGACATGTTTTGGAATTAAGGGATCAAGGTAAAAAGGATCCGGTAACGATAGTTAGCGTTGAACCAACTACTCCAAGAGCGGCTTCGTAGCGCGAGCATCGCCACATGCGATAGTCACGGTCATCTTCCTGCTACGAGGACGATCTACTCCTCAGCCTCAAGAGGGGCCTCCTCATCGTACTCGTCCTCGGCATCAGAGATAGAAGCCTTCTGGTACTGCTGATACTCGGAGACTAAGTCGTTCATGTTGGACTCAGCCTCAGTGAATTCCATTTCATCCATACCCTCGCCAGTATACCAATGCAAGAAAGCCTTGCGCCTGAACATGGCAGTAAACTGATCACCGACACGCTTGAAGAGTTCTTGGATGGAGGTGGAGTTCCCGACAAAGGTAGCGGACATCTTAAGGCCTCGCGGCGGGACCGAGCAGAGAGCGGTCTGGACGTTGTTGGGAATCCACTCAACGAAGTACATGGAGTTCTTATTTTGGATATTGCGCATCTGGTCCTCAATCTCCTTCATGGAGATTTTACCGCGGAAGTAAGCAGAGCAGGTCAGGTAACGGCCGTTACGGAAGTCTGAGGCAGTCATCATGTTCTTGGGGTCGAACATCTGCTGCGTGAGCTCGGGGACTGTGACGGCGCGGAAGGAATTGGCGCTACGGCTGGTCAAAGGGGCGAAACCGACCATGAAGAAGTGGAGACGAGGGAAGGGAACCATGTTAACAGCCAGTTTCCTCAGATCGGAGTTGAGCTGGCCAGGGAAACGCAAGCAGGTGGTGATACCAGACATAACAGCGGAGACAAGGTGGTTCAGGTCACCATAGGATGGACTGTTCAGCTTGAGAGTCCTCGTGCAGATGTCGTACAAGGCCTGTAACTAGTGAGCTTCTTCCTTCCAAAAGCACTGGGTCGAATTGCCACACACCTCGTTGTCAATGCAGAAGGTCTCGTCGGAGTTCTCAACAAGCTGGTGGATAGAGAGTGTGGCGTTGTAGGGCTCTACAACGGTATCTGAGACCTTAGGGGAAGGCACAACCGAGAAGGTAGCCATCATACGGTCCGGGAACTCCTCGCGGATCTTGGAGATCAGAAGCGTACCCATACCAGCACCAGTACCGCCACCAAGGGAATGGGTGATCTGGAAACCCTGGATGCAGTCGCAGCCCTCAGCCTCGCGGCGGACGACATCAAGGACCTGGTCGACCAACTCGGCACCCTCAGTGTAGTGACCCTTTGCCCAGTTATTGCCAGCACCAGATTGACCGAAAACGAAGTTGTCGGGGCGAAAGAGCTGTCCGAGCGGTCCGGCACGGACAGCGTCCATGGTGCCAGGCTCTAAATCGACAAGGACGGCACGGGGAACGAACTTACTGCTAGAGGCCTGCCACTGATCAGCATCCATCTTATGCAGTGAAGGCTAAATACTGTACCTCGTTGAAGTAGACGTTCATGCGCTCAAGCTGGAGGCCCGAGGTGCCGTTGTAAACACCGGAGCCATCGAGGCCGTGTTCGCCAGAGATGGTTTGCCAGAAGGCAGTACCGATTTGGTTACCCTAGTAATTGTCAGCTACCGTTTCAATGAGGGAGTTAGAGTCGAGCGCACGCATTGGCCTGTCTGGAGGTGAATCTATTGCTCGAAAAGCCGTCGTTAGCTATTGTTCGAAACGTATCGACCCTGCTGCAAAACACGGGATAAGGGTGCGCATCCAGTGAAGATCCGACGTTGGGAGGATGCGTACGATTTCACGCATGTTGACGGTTTTCGTTGAGGTAAAGGTGGCTACAGAAGCTAAGTTGACGCTGTGGATGGTGTTGGTGTGGAGAGCAAAGAACGAGGAGCGGGCCGCGCGTCGCCTTAGGTTTAGCGCCAACGAACCTGAAATTGACGTCAGTAGGTATGTGTTTTAGCCTCAAAAAGACGCTATTAACAACTAGAATCTCTAAAAAAAACGAAACCCCCCTAAAATCAGGAAGTAAACGTCAAAAGCCAAGCTCTGGAATAGGTAGAAATACAGGTACGGTAAAAGCGGCAACAGCAATCGCACTAGTGATGATGATGGATGACCGAAAATAGACCTTCATTATCTTCCTCCAAAGCAGACAGATATTCGTATCTGTCCACCGTCGATTAATGTGCAGCTATCAGCCTAAACACTATGTATTATTCCGACCACAATAACTCCTAACGATGTTCACTAACTTTAGCCTCGTACTCTTTTTATCAAACACCTGCGCATGATCCAATTTTGGAAACCACAGCACATCCAACCTGTCTCCCTTCCATACTCCTTCCTCCCAGCTCCCTTTTTGGGGCCTCACACCCTCATTCTCTGTTAGATACGCTTTAACAACCTCCGTGTCGACGATTAGGTCTTTTCCACCCAGCACCACAGTTACATAGTGGTTCTAGATATCCTCCTTCCACAAAATGTTCTGACTCCAAAAGAATCGTCGGAAGAGCGTGTGCGAGACCCCCATGTCCATAGAGGCGAAGTAATAAAGCTAGTGTTCATTGGCGCGGATTGGTTTGCGGTAGATCTAATGTGGTAGGTGATAAGTTCAGAGTTCTCAGAAGAAATTTCAGGACATCCTACAAAGTTGTATGCTACATCTGGAAGATGTAGCAGAAAGAATACCGGGTCAATAAATAGCATCGGCCCGATGTTTTGTGCAATCTAGGGCATGTGAAGGAGATGAGTAGTAATTACGCTCCCATAACTTTGCACGTAATCAATTCTGGTACTAATTACAACAGAGATGATGCAGATAGAGAAAGGGGAAGAAAACACTCACGAATGTGATACCAACACAAACTTTTCCCAGTTATGTGCCTTTAATATGCAATCAATTTCCTGACACATTTCCCCTTTCCCTAGCGCCTCGCCTGTAATCCTAAAGCTCACAGACATAATCTCTACAGCGATGATACCTATCTCTCCGTCTGGTCCGTCTATTTCATCCGCTAAATTTAATTCGGCCAAGAAATCTATGTAGGGGTAGATTCCAATGCCTATACCGTAGATAAAGAGAACAGGAAGTCTAGTTCTTGAAGTGTGTGGACGGTGCCAGTAAGTGATAGTTTTCGTTAAAGAGCGATAGGGAGTGAGAAGAGTAAAGGGGCGCATGGGGAAGACTGTGGGAAATCGAAGGAGAGAAGTCCGATAGAAGTCGAAGGAGTGGTAGCGCATGTAGCCAGACGCTACCGTGTCGACAATGGACACACACTATAAGACGAAGCAAGGTTAGCGACATGGCTTGGGTTATGGAACGATGAATTGTCGCGCGTTATCCCGCGGAAACTCACCAGGTACCATGTTAAGCTCCGATGCAACATATTAACCTTGTCAAGGGTCAGTCTAAGGCAGTCTGCCTTTCCCCTCCCAGGTTCTATCTTCCTCTCTAGCAGCTCTTCCATCATCTTAATATACCCCTCTAGCTCTTCATCTTCCCTTGTGTTAGGTTCTCCGGTGTTTAGAAAAGCCCACCGAAAGAAATCCTTAACATTCTCCTGCTTGATCTCAGATGCCGGGGCGTCCCTAAACCATTTCAAGAGATAACGCTCCGGGTCAGGAATATTCTGATGACAGCGCTGGAAAAGTACGCGACGCTGTTCGCGAGATATAGGCGTCGGATGGGTTGCTGCTCTTTGTAGATAAATTTTGCGTGGGTAGTATACGAGGAGGTGAAACGCTGTCTCGAGGCTAGCCCAGACCTGTAGTATCCAGGAGATGTAGAGTCGAGGATAAAAAAGAGAGATCAAACACCAGAGGACACTAAGAGGGGCAATCCAGTGTAAGACAAATATGCAGGCCCGGATGAAAATGTAGTCCCAGGTCGATGTTCCTATCATGTTAGAGATGACCAAGACTATACTTTGATATTCGACCAGGCACGGTATCAGTATAGGACGGTATTCCTAAAAGTAATTGCTATAATTTGTATGTCCTTTGGTTTAGTGGTCCATGGTGCTGATGCTGTAAGAGCGGATATATGTCTGACATAACCGTTTCCTTGGCCCAATAAGCATTTGGTTCCATGCCTACTGTACGAGGGATATCTACAATTTGTGATTACAAAAACCTTCCTCGCCCAACAAGTTCTTAGACAGCAACATGTGGGCCCTCTTGCTCTCTATGTGACACGCCACTTTCATAATTTTCCATGTGACAGGCAATCGCGTTCTTTGCCGAAATTAATATTCATATTTAGCTTACGAAGTAGACCAACCACCAGGACGCTAAAGGGATGCAGGTAAATACAAAAAAATTGGTATTAACTACAGAGTACCTCGCCGTTTATTAGCAATTCCCGTATCAGTAGACTTGTGAAATATCTTAACACAACATCCAACTGGACAAACAGATCCTTCGGCACTTAACAAAGCAACACCGAACGGTAGCGGCTGCGATCGTATCTCTTTAATTACTTCCTATGTTTGGAATAGCGTCATACAACGGATGAGCAGGTTCTTATCGTAGGCTTCTGAACAAGAGCGGTCATGCTGGCGGCAGATGTGGTCATGGCTCCATGACGGTCCCGCTTTTCGCTTTTTGACGTCTTGGCATTTCTCAACCCCGCACTAACGTCATATTCCAAGCCCGCGGTATCTAAAGTTACTAGCATTCAAGCTAATCGGCAGATTGATTCTGTGGTTTTCCGCATAGTTTTAGTCCTGATCGCGGTCTATTGCAGCGGTATAAGATGCACATCCAAGGATGCGCTTTTCACTTTATTTGTTGTATCTAACATGATAGGCTGGATGTCAACACCGGCCCAACAGTTCTAGACACTCTAGTGCCAACGGCACAGTTTACCGCATCGCTGTGCACCTAAGAAAGAACTTTCTGCATTATAGTCGATGTTTGGAGATATAGTATAATAGTGGCAAATCTATCTGCATAGTATATGCAGCCCATGCAGGCAGCTAGTTCCGTCCTAGGATATAACCTGGTAAGAGGCGCTTGCTTCGTACAGAATAGAGAGTTACTGAGCATATATGCGTTTAGCAGAGCAAGATGATTGTATATGTAGCACAGAATCCTTCTCTAAAATCGTTATAATTGGTACGGGCATCTATTCCTTAACCAACGTCCA